TATATATATATATATATATATATATATATATATAATTTAATAGAATTATTGTGTGTATTTTAATATTTTATATATTAAAATAAAAAAATATTTAAACACAATTTACAAAATTTTTAGAAGATAGCAAAAAATTTTATTCCCTTACTTTCTTTCAACATTAATCTGCATTCTCTGTTTTTTGTCAAAGCGATCAATTTTCTGGTAACCTTGGATTCGAGCATTTGAAATGAATATTCAGTAAATATAATTTAAATAGTCGGTTTTCTTTTTTATTTAATTTAATAGTAATTTTAGATCAATTTCTTTTTCTATTTTTAGAAAGAGAGAGAGAGAGAAATATAATTTTCTTTATGAACAGGCACGCCATCGGCTGACAATCCGATACCCGGAATGAATTCAACTTCATCGCTGCTCGAACGACTCACCGCTTCTTCCAGTCAAAGTAGCCAACCAACAAGTCCGATGACCAACCCGTCTCCAACTAACGTGAATCTACAAGGCGTGAACCTCACTAGTCTGCCGAATTCCATCAACGGTCTACAAAACGTTCAGGTTATTTAAAATAGTAGTTTATTTTTCTCATAGAAGTTAATACAGATTGAAATGAATTAACGTATTGTTCATTTCAGGTATCGTTCCCGGGCTTATCGCAACCTATTACGATGTCATTGAATGTATCTCCAACTACTGGTGGAACCGTCACACCTACTGGGGTCATTGTTTCCCTGCCTATATCGTCTGCCACAAATACTTGTACGACGGTATCAAGTGTTAGTATCCTGTTTATATAAATAATTAAAGAATTATTTCTTTTATTAGTACAAAGCAGTTTAAAGTACAATTAATTCTTTATTAAGGCAAAGCAGTTTAAAGTACAATTCTCTCCATGAATTAATAATAAATAAAATATTTTTTATGTATATTTATATAAATTCTCATGTAATATTATTTACATTGGAAGAGTTAATATCAATGTGTAAAATAGCAATCTTCTCTCGTAAGGTACGTAGAGAAAAAATAAAAGCATTTTTTTTAAATATAATCTGAATGCAAGCTATCGATTGAGCATGCAAAGAATTTGATCGGTCCAGCCATTATTAAGATCCGATAATCTCGGTCTTCTGCAACTTCGCGTAAAGGAATACATTTGATCTTGTACTATATGATGTCGCTGCGTTTCTTAGCGCCGAGACACTGCCGTGCCTCCAGATATATGTTAACAAATAAATAAGTTTATAAAATAATTTATATTTAAATATTACACTATTTTTAC